CCGGCATGACTAAACACAAAGGCGCACGGAACGCTGTTACCTTCCCACCAAAGTGGTTCCTATTTATCTACTTGCAATTTCTTGCTTTCGAACTGCTAGGTTGGCAGGAGCTGGAACTAGAGACGGGAGCTCACTCCGTCATGCAGCACAGTCGGGTCTCGAACTGCTGAACTACCGACCTTCCACATCCTGCAGTTCAGCGTCTTAACCACTTGAGCCACTGCAGCTCCACTAAGGTAGAGAAAAGCAGGGTATAAAAACCAGCTCTTCTCCTACTGCCATGGGCATTGTACAAACATCCAAAGCAAGCCCTGTGACATCAACATTTCTCCCGGCATTTTCTAGTCCTGATCAAAGGCAGTTGAGTGCCCTCCGTAAATGTTCAAGCTTAACCCTCATTTCCGATTTAACCACTACATGAACATTTCCTGGGAAAGGCCAGAAAATGGCAGGAATTGATTTTTTTTTCTCAGACAATCACTTTTTCTTGTACTTGATGTGAGTTTCACGCCCCCCCCCCCTCCTTAACAATATTAAACCGGCTCTGTAATAGCTCAAATGCTCTTGTATCTGACCGCTCTGCTCAGATAAATGTGAAAGAATCCTTGGGGGGAGATACAAGCCATTTCACTCCGGACCCACAAGTCTGATTAAAAGGTTTCTTTTTAATTTTTACTCTCTCTTTGCCCCCTTGTTATTCAACCGCCCCTGTTCCCTCGTTATAAATCACAATAGAGGAGGTAATTGTCGATTGAATGGGGAGGGAAAGGGCAGATTACAATACAATGAGGAAAGGAAGTAAAATTGGGGGGGGGGATGCGCTGTTGTGAGAACTGAGGCAGTTGTAAGCACGTTATTGGCTGAAGAGGGTTTATAAACCAATCGCGTTAAATGTCATTTCTTTACTAAAAACTTTCTCATTTACAGAGGGCACTCAGATGGGCCAAGAGATTTATCAGTAAATGTCAGGATTTTTTTTTTGACATTCCCCACGGGGCTCCTAAAATTAAAAGAAAGCCTTAATTGGGAAAAAAACAGCTTAATGGGTTCATTTCCAGTAGAGCCTGCCTAAGGTGAGATGCAAAATGAATTATAGGTAGATGTCATTAATCTCTAAGTTTCTGATATTTACTTCAATGCACAGTTAGATAAATCTACATGGATATACATGATCTGAAGAGAAACCAGAGTTCTTCCCTCGGCAGTTTTGGAGGGCAGATATAATAAAGTACCATACTGTAATAGAACACACAGGGGCTCATATCATACAATCGAAACCACTGAACACATGGTTATAGAGTGCCCCATATTCGATGAGTTGAGGGCTAATTTAGTCAGCCCTTTACTTAGAGATATGGAACTGCTAAATGTGCGAGCCCAGGTGTCATGGCTACTATCGGATACCAATGATCGTGTCACCCTCTCAGTGGCAAAATTCATAGCGCAATAATCAAATACAAGAGAAATAATACTGAGTTAAGATCTTTTAAATATTTTCTTTGGTTCCGATTTCTGCTTAAGTCGATAGCCGTATGAGCAGTACTAGATAGATAGATAGATAGATAGATAGATAGATGGATGGATGGATGGATGGATGGATAGATAGATAGATAGATAGATAGATAGATAGATAGATAGATAGATAGATAGATAGATAGATAGATAGATAGATAGATAGACGGACGGACGGACGGACGGACGGACAGACAGACAGACAGACAGACAGACAGACAGACAGACAGATATGCACACGGATATTCACTTATTAATATATCCCAGTGGGAAAGCGTGCTGAAGACAACAGGTGGTATCCAAGGCTTCTGTGAAGTCACAGAAACTATTTTTACCACCTGCCCCCTTTTTTGCAATGACTAGGGTTACTGACCTCCAGGTAGGGCCTGAAGGTCTCTTGAGATCACCACTGACCTCTAGACAACAGAGATCAGGTCCCCTGGAGAAAATGGTTGCTTTGGAAGGTGGAATCTATGGCATTGTACCCTCCTGAAGCACCTTCTCTCCCCCAAACCCTGCCTCTGCAGGCTCCTCCCCCCAAAATGTCCAGGATTTTCCCAACTTGTAACCCTGGTGGCTCAAGTGGTTAAGACACTGAACTGCAGGTTGTGGAAGGTCAGTAGTTCAGCAGTTCGAGACCTGGGTGCCGCATGATGGAGTGAGCTCCCATCTCTAGTTCCAGCTCCTGCCAACCTAGCAGTTCGAAAGCAAGAAATTGCAAGTAGATAAATAGGGACCACTTCGGTGGGAAGGTAACAGCGTTCCGTGCGCCTTGGTTTTTAGTCATGCCGGCCACATGACCACGGAAACATCTTCAGACAGCGCTGGCTCTTCGGCTTTGAAACAGAGATGAGCACCGCAACCCTAGAGTTGGATTCGACTGGCTTTCGAGCAAGAGAACCTTTACCTTTACCTGTAACCCTGGTAACCACCTGCTGGGGAGCTGACAACCCTATTCCAAATGACATAATTGTTCCAGAAAGTTCCCAAACCTACAGCTGTAACCATGGGGGGCGGGGGAGTTAAAAATCCCTTCACTAAACTCAACCCAGTTATAGAAGTCTTGGATCAACCTGATTTTTTGCTTCGAGTAATAGTGGTTAAGATGCTGACCTGCAGACTGGAAGGTCGATAGTTCAGCAGTTCGAGACCCAAGTGCCGCACAATGGAGTGAGCTCCCGTCTCTGGCCCCAGCTCCTGCCAACCTAGCAATTCGAAAGCAAGAAATTACAAGTAGATAAGTAGGTACCACTTCAGTGGGAAGGAAACAGCATTCTGTGAGCCTTGGTGTTTAGTCATGCCGGCCACATGACCACGGAAATGTCTTCGGACAGCGCTGGCTCTTCGGCTTTGAAACGGAGATGAGCACCGCAATCCTAGAGTCGGATTCGACTGGCTTTCGAGCAAGGCAACCTTTACCTTTAAGTAGGTACTGCTTTGGTGGGAAGGTAACAGCCTTCCGTGCACCTCAGCATCTAGTCATGCCGGCCACGTGCCCATGGAAACGTCTTTGGACAGCGCTGGCCCTTCGGCTTGGAAATGGAGATGAGCACCACATCCCTACAGTCGGATTCGACTGGCTTTTGAGCAAGGAAAACCCTTACCTTTACCTAATAGATCACACAAAAGCACAGCAAGAACACATTGGGAAGGACAAAGACATGCTAGGGGTTTCCTGTTTCCTTTATCTCCTGGTCTTTTAGATTACAAATTACAAACTACTTAAGAAGATAAAACAATTTAGAGCAGAGGTTGAAATGTTGTTTTTCTAAGATGCTAAATGGAGATTAAGATGGCCACGTGCAATATACCCAGAAACAGTGGCCCATAATCTCTGGCTGTTGTTAAGCGAGTGCCTTAAGGAACGGATTTAGTTCTGCCAATTATTTTACTCTGCTTGAACTGAGTGTGGAGTTAGTGCGGGAGACCGAAAATAGATTGGAGCGTAATAGAGGAGTTAATTGGAAAACTGGAAACAAAATGAATTCTAGACGAGGAAGCGAAATGGTATGCCGAGGCCATTATAGCTGCTGTCTCTCCCAATTATGCTCTCCGTCATTGACATTTGTTGGCAGCATTCTTAATAAACTGTCACTCTGCTCTCGCACGCACAAAAAAGATGAATCACTTGTTGACAATGGAAGGGAAACCCTGCTATTTGCAACTCTCTTGGGAGTCCAGAAGGAAAAACCCTCAAAAGATATTAGGGGTAAAAGGCACTTCAATAATTTAAAACCATCTCACTTTAAGACATCTTGGAATACATTTGAATAGGTCCCTCAGATTGGAAGGATTTTTTATCCCTAGATATTTCCAGTGAGTAATCACCCAAGTATAGGAAAAGTTCAAGTAGATAAATAGGTACCACTTCAATGGGAAGGTAACAGCGTTCCGTGCGCCTTGGTGTTTAGTCATGCCGGCCACATGACCACGGAAACGTCTTCGGACAGCGCTGGCTCTTCGGCTTTGAAACAGAGATGAGCACCGCAACCCTAGAGTCGGATTTGACTGGCTTTCGAGCAAGGGGACCTTTACCTTTACCTATGTAATTATTAACAGACTTCCAGGATGCACCAAGCCCTGGGGACTGTAGGAAGGGGCTCCTTTTCTCTTAGATTTTCCAGGCCACTCGTGGCAACCGGTGCGGGGACTTACCAGTGGTGAGGGAGGCCCAGGCTGGCAAACCGGTGATATCGCCAGCAACATTACTTTCAGTGCACGCCAGAAGTTACATCAGCACATTGCCAGTGACAATCTAGTATCTGAGCAAACCTCTATGGTTTTACCATAGAGTTTTGCTCAAATATCAGAGTGTCCCCGACATCAATGGCAATAGGCTGACATCAGTTCCAGGTGCATGGGAAATTACATCGGTATATCTAAACACTTAGGAGCTGCGGTGGCTCAAATGGTTAAGACGCTGAACTGCAGACTGTGGAAGGTCGGTAGTTCAGCAGTTCGAGACCCGGGTGCCGCATGACGGAGTGAGCTCCCGCCTCTAGCTCCAGCTCCTGCCAACCTAGCAGTTTGAAAGCAAGATATTGCAAGTAGATAAATAGGGACCACTTCAGTGGGAAGGTAACAGCGTTCTGTGCACCTTGGTGTTTAGTCATGCTGGCCACAGGACCATGGAAATGTCTTCGGACAGCGCTGGCTCTTCGGCTTTGAAACGGAGATGAGCACCGCAACCCTAGAGTCAGATTTGACTGGCTTTCGAGCAAGGGAACCTTTACCTTATCTAAACACTACTGGTGTCTGCCCCTTCCATTTTTCATTCCATTTTCCCCCTGCCAGCTAGCGAATCGGCAGTGGGGGGGGACAGCGCATTGGGGCAGGGGATTTCCCACCCCCAGTGGAAGGCTGGTGGCCCTGTCTTCTCTTGGGGAGTCTCCCCGTCCTTCTGAGGACTCTTTGCCCCATATGGAGGCTGGGGCCAAGGTGTGTCTTGACAAATACCGTTAATACAAAAATACTCTCCTCGGTTGCAGGATATGCGTGGCCTCTGCCCAGGAACCTCTGCGCGATATGGATCTATTTAGATGTGCTTTTCTCCACCGCCTCCATCATGCATCTCTGTGCCATCTCGCTGGATCGCTATATTGCCATCCGAAACCCCATCCATCACAGCCGCTTTAATTCAAGGACGAAAGCTTTTGCAAAGATCATTGCTGTGTGGACCATATCCGTAGGTGAGTAGAGCAACGCTTCTCATGCGCCGCACAACGATCCGATCAGTGACCACAAGCATACGTATATAACAATCTAAATATTTATACCACTGATGGTCTTGGAGGAAGTTCTGGTTGTGTGGGGGTTTTTTTGTAAATCCCCGTAGGGATATTTTTTATTTTGCAAATACTACAAACTACAAAGAAATATAGGGGAGGGACTACAACTAAGGAGAAAGAAAAGCAAACCACACTAAACTAAAACCCCAAGTGGAGGAGATCTTTTCACTGTTAGTAAATATGATAGTATGATTAGTTTTATTATCCCAATATACTTGTTGAGTTCTTTCTGGTTGTGTTTTTAATGAGATTCAAATGGAGACTTCTGTCTATATGGGCAGTGGAGGAAACACGTGTGGCGGCAGTTTGGGCCACTGTTATCTACCTGGAATTTCAGCCAATCGTGAGAGCTCTGGAAGTCCCTGCACAGTGTGCACAATGTATACAGAAAATGCAACTTGGCCCTGCATATAAGCTGGTGGTGACAGGGCACATTAGGCAGGAATTCCAAGTGGCTACCAGACAAACTGTTTCAGCCCTGAAAGCGAGAGGAAGGAAAGGTTGAGTAGCAACAGGAGCCGTCAGGCACAAATCCAGACATCCTAACCCAGGCTGCGATTTTATCACACCCCTGCTGGACACTTCTCAGAAGTCTTGGGGGGTGGGATGGCCCACATGCCTACACTTTTTAAAAAACAAATGGGACTTTGATGCATGCTAATGTTGAGCTGCGGTGGCTCAAGTGGTTAAGACGCTGAACTGCAGGCTCTGGAAGGTCAGTAGTTCAGCAGTTCGAGACCCGAGTGTGCCGCGTGACGGAGTGAGCTCCCGTCTCTAGTTCCAGCTCCTGCCAACCTAGCAGTTCGAAAGCAAGAAATTGCAAGTAGATAAATAGGTACCACTTTAGTGGGAAGGTAACAGCGTTCCGTGTGCCTTGGTGTTTAGTCATGCCAGCCACATGACCACGGAAACATCTTCGGACAGCGCTGGCTCTTCGGCTTTGAAACAGAGATGAGCACCGCAACCCTAGAGTCAGATTCGACTGGCTTTCGAGCCAGGGAACCTTTACCTTTACCTTTAATGTTACCCTGTGATCCCATCACTGCATACAACCTATGCTAGGGTGGCCAACCACCAGGGGGTAGCTAGAGATCTCCTGGGATAATAACTGATCTCCAGGCCCTCAGAGATCAGTTCACCTGGAATCAAAGAATAAAAAAATCATAGAGCCAGTCTGGTGCAGTGGTTAAGTGCGCGGACTCTAATCTGGGAGAACCGGGGTTGATTCCCCACTCCTCCACTTGAAGCTGCTGGATGACCTTGGGCAAGCCATAGTTCTGGCACAGCTGTTCTTTCAAGGGCAATTCTGGAAAGAGCTCTCTCAGCCCTGCCCATCTCACAGGGTGTCTGTTGTGGGGAGGGGAAGGGAAAGGAGTTTGTAAGCCGCTCTGAGACTTCGAGTGAGTGAAGGGTGGGGAATATATCCAATCTCTTCTTCTTCTTCTTCTTCTTCTTCTTCATCCAACCCTCTGCACAATGTAAGAGAAAATGGCCACTTTGGAAGATGGATTCTCTGGCATTATACGCCATTGAAGCCCCTCCCCTCCCCAAATCCCACCCTCCTCAGGCTCCACCCCCAAAATCTCCAAGTATTTCCCAACCCAGAGCTGACAACCCTAAACCAACATTAACCTGACCCAAAATTTCAGTCCATTTTCAGGGCCAAGTAAGGGTTGCTTCATGCACGGCGTCCGCCCAAGGCGGATACTATCTCCAAGAACATGGAGTGGCCAAACTTGCTTCACGTGGAAAGCCACACAGAATAAACGTCAGATGTCTGAGAGCCGCCAGGCATGAACAAATATTACACACATGTTTTTATTGGAAAATATGCAAATTTGCTTTTTATTAACATTAAATTAGACTGTGTGAAAGATCCACATGCAGCTCCCGAGCTGCAGTCTGGCCACCCCCGTCCAAGAAGGAAGTTTCAAAAAAGTACACAATAGTATTTGCTGGGTAGGACAAATGGGGGCTTGGGAAGAGGGTGGGTTAACATGAGTGCACCAACTGGGCCACAGGAGCAGATGCAAAAGTCACTGTCACACCTTTGAACTTTCCCACGTGATCGTCTCTGTGTAAAAATATAACACCGTCCTGAAGGAAGCGAGCAAATGCCTCTCCCGGGAAGGTAGGGGGTGATGAGAAGGCATAACTGATCTGCATCGCCATCCCAATGGAGAATCTAAGCCAGTTTGGTGTAGTGGTTAAGTGTGCGGACTCTAATCTGGGAGAACCGGGTTTGATTCCCCACTCCTCCACTTGCACCTGCTGATGTGACCTTGGGTCAGTCACAAGCTCTGGCACAGCTGTCCTTGAAAAAGAGCAGTTTGTGTCAGAGTTCTCTCAGCCCCACCCGCCTCACAGGGTGTCTGTTGTGGGGAGGGGAAGGGAAAGGAGACTGTAAGCCGCTCTGAGACTCCAAGTGAAGGGCGGGGTATAAATCCAGTCTCTTCTTCTCTTCTCTTCTTCTTCTTTTCATGAAGATATTATGAGTGTTCCCAAGGCTAGACAAAGGGGGAAACCAGCAACGTAATGACCCAGAATAATTCTGGGCTTCCGTATCAATCTCTTGCCAACCGAATGCCAACCGAAGCCGTGAACTCCCAGCGGCAGCATTTCACTTACCAGGGTGTGAAATTTCAGGGAATAAAGAGCTGCCTTTCTCAGCTTGCGCATCCCGCTTAGGGTCTGCTCGTGTTGCCAATATATGGCTTCACTCTCTGCAGAGCTGCAAGCAACCCCGGCAGAATGCAACGCAGCACACAGACCATGTCTGCAGTCGTGAAATTCCACCCATTGACGTTTTTAAAACTGCGCATTATGTGAAATTTTCCACAATAAATTTTTCCTCACCAGGCGCGAACCGAAGTTTCCCCCCCCCCTTCTTTCCCCAGGTTTTCGGAATCCACAGTTTCAGCAAGTTCCGAAAATGTGGAGTAAGAAGGAGAAAATGTTGGTTTTGCGCCTGGCGAGGAAAAATCTACTGAGGAAAATTTAATATAATGCACAGTTTTAAAAACATCACTGCGGGGAATTTCACTACTGCAGAAATGGTCACAGCCTACTTTTTCCTCTCCATTTAGGTCCTTTCCGCACTAGACCTTAGATCCTGGTTCAACCCTGTCCTCGAACTTACATTCTACACTACACTCGAGTTCACCCCTGTAATTATCTTGGGGTATTTTTTATTTCCACATTACACTGAGGTCACCCCGGTTTCACCCCACACTTGTCCCGGGATAAATGGATGCTGTTATAACCAGGGATAAATGCAAGGTATTGTGTCACGGGTCGAACTCTGATAAAACCAGGGATGAGATCCAAGTGCGGAAAGGACCTTAGAATGGCTTCCAGTATACAAAAGGAATCAGGATGCCAAATAAGCGGCAGGAAGGTCAGACAGTGTCTTCCAAGCACACTTTGTATCTTGCCTCAATTGGAATGTATCTCAAGTGGGCTTTGAACATTGCTTCAGAGTTTATCCCATGGTGTATTCCACACAGCAGGGGTCCTGCATCTATGTGACACAACTGTGGGGGGCACCGGTTAATCAGGTAGATCAAACCCACAGATGTCGCACATTGCCAGGAAAGAGATGCTGCTTCCATGTGAAACACCCGGGGGGGGGGGGTCTATTCAACATACAGCTCTCAGGCGCATCGCTTGATAGATGATCAGCTTCCCTGTGACTGGAGATACATCTGAGCAGTACCTCCAGGTGCAAACCACCTCTGGGTCTTCTTATGAAAAAAGCTTACTTGAACTTCCGGTTTATGGTGACACGCAGGTGGATGCACCTCCCGGACCTCCCGGGGGTGCTATCTACACGCTAGCAGATAGGAGGGGGGGCATTGTTCGCCACCCCCCGGAGCCTTTGTGAAAGGCTCCTAGCCATGGGGCTTTTGAAGGGTGGCCTCTTCACCAGCGCGTTGCTGGTGAATTGAGGTGCTCTTCCGCCCCAACAGTCCTGCCGCTATGCGTCTGTATGGAACTAGAGCTGCTGACCGGGACAAATGTCAGAGATCGAGCGTTTAAAACGTATTCTGAGCGAGGTCTTATGACCAACAACGAACAGTGAGTCGAGTAAAAGTGAAATACCAGCAATTTAAAAAGAAAGCCCCCCCTGTGAATGGCGGGAAAAGTGAGCGGGGGAGGGGGCCCTCGCACATGCAGAGACTAAAAAGTGATTGAACAAGAGGGGAGCGGAAGCAAAAGCGAAATCTTTTTAAAGAAACTTACCAGAGCGCGGATAAGTGTATGGGCGAATTTCAGAGACTTTAGCAAGTTTTATAAAAGTAAACAATCCATTAAAATGGCGTGGAAAAAAGTGGAGAGGGACAAACAAGCAAAAGTGAAACCACCAGGGAGCATGAGCCCACAACTGGAAGAGACCACTGAGTTCTCTAAACTCTTGGCGAACTCTTTGCACCCTCTACTGGATCAGATGACTAACATCTATCAGCAGCTGACAACTCTTTTTTTTTTGTTACATTTATTTATTTACGTTATTTATAGTCCATCAATCGACACAATGGGATATTCAACAACTAATGTGCTAGGATGTTAGAAGACTGGAACCGCCAGAAAGAACAGGAGCACAGCACCAGTATTAACAGGACACTTTAAGGGGTACAGAAATGATATAATAGACTCCTACTTACAATACACCATATACAGTGGGAAAGACCACAAGTCCCAATTATTTTTCCAAGTAAATCTGTGAAACTATGTATGTACTGTGCAGCCTTATTGCTCTAATCCAGAACTTTGCAGCTCAGCAGCTCCAACTGTCTGAAACTACAAAAAAGACGGAGCAAACAGCTGAGAAAGTAAAGGAAATAGATGCCAACTCTAAAAAAGTCAAGAAAAAGGTGCAAATGCTGGAAAGGAAGCAAGCT